ATATACAGTATGCCAGGATCAGTTTTAATAACAGTAGATTATGCAATTTTATATTAAGGATGTCTATTATTTGTACGAAAATTTTATTATTGTCCATTTAACCTATCCTTTTACCCTTGAGATTTCCGGATTTAGGAAATTCGTAAAACATGAGATATGGGTTCTATCATTTACTATAATTTCTAAATGTCAATAAAAGTAAACTACAAACTTCAAATAGACGGTAAAATACATGTCCCGCATTATATAAACAGAAGTACAAATAATAACTTTAGATATCAAATGAAGAGTAGATAACTGCACTGAAAGCTTGTAATTCACTTGTGTCTTTAATAGCCTGTAAATAATTATATTGTCAGAATAAAAAATTAAGAACGAGAAAATAACATGCTTAGAAAAGTAAATTCATCATATAAGTACCTCGATATATTTATTGGGTATACCATGGAGTATTATATTAGTCGATCTCGCAACGTCCGGTAACAGTTTAATTAATAAGACATTCTTTTCTATCGTTTCTTCTACCTCATCATCTTCCTTTTTAACAATAAAATGTGGATACAAGTCTTGACTCAATAGACCAAATGCGGAATTTAAACAACTTGATAGGACTGTTGCAAAGTCTTGACTATTAAGTGATACGAAAACGTTTAATTAAAAGTAAATTTATACTAATAGGTACCTAATTATTAAATAACAAACCTGTAAATAAAGTCTTTGGTCTCATCTAATAAATTTCTCAACTCTGGTTCAATAAACGTCTCAAGAACACCACCACCACCTTTACTTAATACCATCAACTCATCTTCATACTTTTCGGGCATCAGAATATTTGAAAATCTGTAAATGGAATTATAAGTTCCTTCAATGGAATATTAATATTACATTGCTCATTCGAAAAAAAGAACGAACCCGTGTGTTCGATTTCCGTTTTCATTTTCGAAAGACTCAACTTTAGTTCTTATTTCAGATAAAAACCAAATAAAGTCTTTGTACGAAATTTCTTGTTTCAATTGAATACTAAAAGGAAATTACATAGTTTGAAATTGAAAATATTAACATTGTATTATAAGAAAAAAAAAAGAGGTGAATGTGAAACCATTAATGCACCTTAAATTATGCCTACCCTGACATTACGGATTCAACAGCCTCTCTAACACGTTCAATCGCCTTTTTACTACCAACATTCAAAAACCACCAAATGAATGTCAAATATTTCTGTTCAGTTTTAGAATTTAATAAAGATCCTGTAGAAGGTTGGATTTGTATGATTTGTTCTCTGTCTCGTTCGGTAAGAGCTACCACAGAATACAGATAATTATATCTCCCCAATAAGTTCAGTTGAATGGTAAGCACTAATGTAAGAAAGGTTTCCAAATAAATTGCTGCAATGGTACGTATAAAACCTTAATGATAATTTTTTTTTGTAAATTTCGATTAATTTCGAGGACAAATATTAATAAAGGTTTATACTATAAATATCATTTCAATTACTCTTATATTTAACTTCGTTCCAGCACTCCACTTTGGATTTCATTTGATTCGATGCCGGATGACTTGTGCTTGTGGGAGATTGCTCATCACTATCCTGACCACTACTTCTACTCGAATTATCACTATGTTGATTTTCTCCCGAGTCCTTATTGTTTACCGATTCGATCATCTTCCCTGCATCTTTGTCCACAATCACCATTGATGACGAAGGCGTTACAGGTGTACTATTATTATCTACTAAAACGACTGATGTGCTCGGTGAAATATTTGGAGTCGACGAGGTTGAACTTGAACCACTGGCGTTTATGTTTTTTGTTCTTTGTAAAAGTGCAATGATAGATTCAACATCGAATTCCGTTAATAAATTTTCAGCTATTGTTGAAAGATGATCGAGTACGGCAAACGAGCAATCTAATTGACGTTGCTGAAATCGACGTCGCATACTTAAATTTAATAGCA